ATCAGTTTCAGCAGATATTTGAGACTGACTTGGAATTTGTACATTACTATATCGGTATACCTATGGATGAGCAAACATGCAAAACGACATACTACAAAGATTATGTCTCAAACAGGCGTCTATATGAATTGTCTTATAGAAGGACGTCACCGCTTTCTGTAAGTTCAGTGAAACTGTGCCATCAGTATTCTTCCAGTTGACATTATAATTTGGCACCTGCACGGTTAGCAAAGCGCCAATAGACAACTACAAGCGTTTGTATATCCCTCTGATTCTGTTCCATAACGAAATATTTCTCTCTTTTTTTATAAAAAGTGGGGGGTCGGTCGGGTAGCCTAGTGGTTAAAGTGTCCGCTCGTCACGCCGAAGACCCGGGTTCGATTCCCAACATGGGTACAATGTGTGAAGCCCATTTCTGGTGTCCCCCGCCGTGATATTACTGGAATATTGCTAAAAGCGGCGTAAAACCATACTCACTCACTAGTACTTATATACAGTGACTAAAAGTTGGCATTAGCCTTCAGCTAGCACTTGACCCATGCCATATAAATGAAAGCAGGATTCGTCAGAGTTTCAACATTTAAGTAGTTTGGTAAAGCCATTGTCTTATTAACAAAGAAACACACTGTAATATAGATCGGTTGGCCGTACAATATTGAATAAATATGGTTGAGACTTTGCTTTGAAGGTTCCTGATGGTTGTGAAAATATAGGCATTGTAGCAAGATTTCAAAGGACGCTTCAAAACCATTGATTACACGACAATGAATTTGAAATGGTTGAATTGTTTTATTTTACATATAAAGTAGAATTGGGCAGTGGGGTAACCTAGTGGTTAAAGTGTTCGCTCGTAAAACCGCAGGCACGTGTTCGAGTCCCAAATGAGTCATATCACATGCACCAACTGAATTCTCATTGCGCGACATTATTATTACAGGTGGGGTGTAAAACACAAGCTGCCTTGTAAGGCGCTAGGAGAGTTTATTTACATTACAAATCTAATCCTACGAGGTACCAATTGCTGGGTGAGCTGGGGCACTTTTCGACATACTCTCTTTTCTAAAGAGACACGGGGCGGTCTGGTAGCCTAGTGGTTAAAGCGTTCTCTCGTCACGCCGAAGACCCGGGTTCGATTCCCAACATGGGTACATGTGTGAAGCCCATTTCTGGTGTACCCCGCCGTGATTTTGCTAAAAGCGGCGTAAAACCATACTCACTCACTCACTACTACCATCATCTACTACTTTCACAACGGCTACTGACACCCAAACTACTTCAGCGTCACTACACCCCAACTACTTCAGCGTCGCTATGACGACTACTACGGTCGTGATATTGCTGGAATATTGCTAAAAACGGCGTAAAGCCATACTCACTCACTCACTCTTGTGGGACAGGACAGAAACCCTAGAAACTCTAAGGAGACAAGCTTGCCGAACCAGTTCATCCACCCAACCACTCTTCCCGAGCAACGTCGCTTAACGTCGCCTGGCGTTTTACCTGTGCGTTGCACCCAGGACCACGTGCTTGGCGTTTAGCCGTTGGTGAACGACGAAATTTGTTACGGGGTAAAACGGGATATCACTAATGTTTCATAATCGCAAACCCCGTGAAGATTTGGGGATTGAATTATCCTCAGCAGCCAATGCTTGCCGTAAGGGACGACTAACGGGATCGGGGGTCAGGCTCGCTGACTTGGATGATTCATGTCATCGTATCCCACCTGACTTGATCGATGATACTAATGTCAATCCCTTGATTGTCTGGTCCAGACTCGATTATTTACAGACCGCCGTCATATAGCTGGAATATTGCTGAGTGCAGCGTTACACAACAAAGAAACAAACCAACAAATACTATCAATCACTGGTTGTCTGGTCCGGATTTGAATATTTGCCGGACGCTGTCATATAGCTGAATAGAGTTATTATCATTGTGTGTGTGTCTCTGTGTGTGTGTGTGTGTGTGTGTGTGTGTGTGTGTGTGTGTGTGTGTGTGTGTGTGTGCTTGTACTAATCCTGACCTATGCTTGTTTTATAATGTTATCCCACTGTTTTCCAACTTCAACATGGATACCCCACTCAGACACAGTACACTTACTGAATATAGAGCAGTGCAGCTTTAAAACAACGACGGAACAAAAGCACGAATACTGATAAATAGACGTCATGCCACGCAAACCAACGACTAAGATGCCTCCTACACAACCTGATCACGAAATTGAGAGATCGCTTCTTAGTGACAAGCGTTAATAATTAACAGTTTGAGCCCTTGTGTTGTCAGCAGGTTGCATTTTTTAAGCTGGATCAATCCAAGACATAGCCATGTGAACTTAAACTGGTATTCCTTGTTCCAGGATATTGGTTTTCTTTCAACAACTGAGGCCATGTTTCATCACTTACTTCGAGCGACAAGGGACGATAGGTAGCCGAGTGACTAAATTGTTGGTTCTTTCCGCCGAAGAACCAGGTTCGATTCCGTATAAGGGAACACCCATACCTAGTTATATGACTCGACTAGTTATAAGTTAGTGTATAACTAACTAGCTTAAAGGCTAAAGTGTTGGCTCATCACGCCGTAACGCGGTTCATAACTAACTAGACTTGAAGTTGAAGCGTCGGCTTGTCACGTCGTAAAGCGTTGTATAACTAACTAGCCTAGAAGTCGAAGTGTTGGCTCATCACGTCGTAACGCGGTTCATAACTAACTAGACAAGAAGTTAAAGCGTCGGCTTGTCACGTCGTAACGCGGTTCTTAACTAACTAGACTAGAAGTTAAAGCGTCGGCTTGTCACGTCGTAACGCGGTTTATAACTAACTAGGCTAGAAGTTAAAGCGTCGGCTTGTCACGTCGTAACGCGGTTCATAACTAACTAGACTAGAAGTTAAAAAAAGCGTCGGCTTGTCACGCCTTAACGCGGTTCATAACTAACTAGACTAGAAGTTGAAGCGTCGGCTTGTCACGCCGTAACGCGGTTCATAACTAACTCGTCTAGAAGTTAAAGCGTCGGCTTGTCACGTCGTAACGCGGTTTATAACTAACTAGGCTAGAAGTTAAAGCGTCGGCTTGTCACGTCGTAACGCGGTTCATAACTAACTAGACTAGAAGTTAAAGCGTCGGCTTGTCACGTCGTAAAGCGTTGTATAACTAACTAGCCGGGAGGTTAAAGCAGTGCTCGTCACGCTGTAAAGCAGTGTACAACTAAATCGTTTGGAGGTTAAAGCGTTAGCTCATCACGCTGTAGATCTAGGTTCGATTCCCACGAAACGGGTTGGGAAATTCATTCTTGATCACCCACAGTGATATTGCTGGCATTTGCTGAAAAGGGCAAATTTCATTCAATATTTATTACATATGTGCATTTTCCCATGTAATATATTTTAATCACGCCCCTTCGCTTGCCATACGCCAAATAAGTAACTGATTGGAAACTAGATCGAAAACATTAATGTCACCGACTCACTTACCTTCCCATCCATCAACCCACTTGCTTACTCACCACTCCACCCAAACCTACCAACTCAATCACACACACACCAACCAACCCAAAGGACTCACTCACTCACTCACTCACTCACTCGCTCGGGATCCGGGCGAGACTGTCGATGCCCTAACGCGTAAAGTCCCCTTAGCTTATCACCATCACTATATCCCTATATCCCTATATCTACCCTGATCAGAGTGAGTGAGTGTGGTTTTACGCCGCTTTTAGCAATATTCCAGTAATGGGCTTCACACATTGTACCCATGTCGGGAATCGAACCCGGCGTGACGAGCGAACACTTTAACCACTAGGCTATCCGACCGCCCCTACCCTGATCAGAAGGCCGGTAGACTCTGTATATACAAGAAAGGCATGCAAACAGTTCTGAATGCCGACGGAGACAAAACTAGGGAATTGATACTTTTATGACACCAGTTTGACTGAAAGCTAATTAAATGCTGCGATCTCTCACTCCCACTTCCTTCCTAAGGGACATCCACTGTTAGCTTGCAACCATTATCTCACTTGAGAAATGCGAGTAAAAGTTGGTGTTATAATCAATAGCAAGACCTGACATTTCGCAATTGCATTGTTCGGTGAAATTAACTCTCGCTCAACTCTTTAGGATGCCATAAATAATTACTTGCACGTCGATATGCCTTGGAATGTATGTATAAATTGAAATATTAAAGAAGCGGCATCTCTTTACAGGTGCTTTGAATCTTATATACTGAACTAACAAAGTTTGGGATCACGAATATTTTGGGGTTATTTTTTATGAAATTGTGTACACAGTCTTCACTACAAAAATATTTATGATCCTTAACTTTTTGGGTTCAGTATATAAGATTTAATGGCAGCTGATAAGATATATCCTTTATCAATCTTTCACAAAATGCATTTATTTTTTCAATATCCATGAAACGGGTTGTCGAGTTCATATTTTCATAAAAATACGATGTTAATTAGATGTAAGTTGGCATGGTGTAATATGCTTTAGTTGTGTGTTACATGGTATCATCCTCGTGTATCCAGGGTATTATATCTCTATTCGATTATGATACATACCCTGAAACCCTAATGCTTCGTTTCAGAAGTGACGTGACCATCTCCATATCGTTTATCACTGAGGTATTTTAAGTTTTAGGTTTTAACAAACCTAGAAGCTTACTCAGGGCGAGTCTAGGATTCGAACCCACGATCATAAATTCTGGCACGCCTCAGACACCCTAGACGACTGGGCCACCTGTGCCCCCGTGCAACGCCGGGGGTAGATACAAAAGACGACTATGGTTGTCGTAAGAGGCGACTAACGGGATCGGGTGGTCAGGCTCGCTGACTTGGTTGATGCATGTCATCGTATCCCAATTGCTAAGATCGATGCTCGTGATGTCAAGCACTTGATTGTCTGGTCCAGACGTTAAACAACAAACAAATAAACAACTGTCTCCCTATAACGGTGTTGGGTTGAGTTATGCAAATCAGCAATGTAATACCATGTTTCATGTTATTTCAGATCATAAATATGGCGGGAAAATGGAATACGTACACGCATGTGCTGCTCGTGGTAACGGCTTTATCGTCTGCTGTCTTCTCCGAAAATACCAATGGTAAGTTTCAGAATATTGTTAGCATCTTATTCAAGCACAGATGGACTAGAATGAGTATAAACTATATCAAAAGTATAGTTGTGTGATAATCATCACACATATGCAATACGTGTGAGTGAGTTGGGTTTAACGCCGCTTTTAACAGTATTCCAGTTATATCACGGCGTGTCAGCTTAATGTGGGAGGAAAGCCCGAAGTGATGCAGGTGTCTGATGTTTACCACTTCGGTGAAACCCACGAGCACGGGTATGGTGCTGACAAACCTAGAAACATAATCGGGGCGAGCCGGGACTCGAACCCACAATCATAGGTTTCTGGCGTGCCCAAGGGACGCAACTCTGCACAGCGAATCGCGGCGCCACAGACGACTTGGCCACCCGTGCCCCCTATGCAATACGAGTCTTATAAAGACGAGACCAAGATGTTTCACGGTCCTTGACCTGGCTGTTCACGTAACTGCCCATCAGCCCGTATCGAGGCTTTAGCGACTGTCTATTTGTGTTACTGTTAGGTACAGCAAAAATGTTACATCTCATCTTATTTTAAAGGACCATCTTCTGCAGTCCTGGAGAACTGATATTCGATATTCTGCCAAAGTTTTCTACTATTCCTTTATTAAAGATTCACCATGTTTTCAAAAATATTTATTCCTCATTAAAATTGAAAAGCGTGCCTGGTTGAACATTCGTCACGAAGAGAGATTTTGTACATTGTGTAATTCACAAAAAAAATTGGGACGAGTTTCATTATTTATTCAGATGTAAAGCACTGGCGAATGGACGTTTTTCTTTTATCAGTAATTATTATTATAAATGGCATAACATGTCAAAATATAACAAACCTGTTTATAATAAGATACATGTCCTGAACAAAATGTCAAGTTTTCTGAAATATTTATATGCCATCTTGTTGTAGTTTGTATATAGACATTTACCACCGTTGGTGGTTTCTTTGAGAAATAAAAAGAATAAAAAGAGTTAACCAGACAAGGGTGAGTATCTAAAAGTACCCATGCCAACTTCTAGATAATATGGTCGACAAGTGTTTGCGCTAGTATGCTTGGGTTGCGCTTCATAACCTGCCAAACTGGAGAAAAGGCGGTCCGTTGAACACATACCGTATTCGACATAATAAGCTCCCAGGGCGCTCTCAAAATTTGAAATAGGGGGCTCTTATTAGAATATTATTTTGGTTAAATACAACAGAGTTGAAAAATCGTAAATTTCCTGGTTTATGCCGACAGCCTGAAATGTTTATATACGACAGATATATTTTTCCAGAATTTAATTGCCCATAAATAAGGATGCATATAACACACGTATTATACACGAATAAATAAGTCTTGTGTACATTGATCAATCGGAAGGGGTGCTATAATTGGGATTCTTCACTAGCCAATATATTAGCAAATATCGCCGTGGGCGCTTATTAGAGCGGGGCGCTTATTACGTCGAATACGGTACTCCTATTGCAGTCTTAGTTTGTCCATTTGTTCTTATTCAGTAAACTACGGTTATAACGAACTCAAAGGGACTACTATTTTTAGTTCGTTATAACCGTAGTTCGTTATAAGCATATATACAGCATAACCACAGCAAATAGTCGGGACTAAAAAGTAAGTTCGTTATATCCGTCAGTTCGTTATAAGCGTCTTCGTTATAACCGTAGTTTACTGTACTGTAATTTGTCATATATTTTCCCGACAGAACAGCCCCGCATTGGTCCCTTCATGAAACTGAATAACGTGCACAAACGCTGTTACCTAGCAACAATTGTTAATCTTGCTCATGTTTAATCGCCAGGAATTTGAAATAATCAATTTTAAACCATAGGCGGTCTTCTCTGCTTCAGGAAATGTATTTACCTTCCACTTACATATTCTACTTTTGTCCACCATTTCTGTTGTTCGGTGGTGTGGGTTTGCATTCAGCAAAGTACTAGCGGCATTGTTCATGTTGTGAACACGAGATATTCACCGCAAACCAAGATAGGTCGACAAACACCACATGTTTATTTTGAAGCCGGTTAAAATGACACGAAGCTAAAACAAGAGATCCAATCAAATTACGCTGTAGTTTCGTGACTGAAAAAAATGGCGATATCTATGGAGGCCGATCGGGGACATCGCTTTCTCGCCTTCAGTTTCAGACGATAACACGAGACGAGAAAGCAGAAGCAGAACGACACAAAATATCACTGATTAATGCCAGTCGTCTAAGGCGCCGCGATTCGCTGTGCAGAGTTGCGTCCCTTGGGCACGCCAGAAACCTATGATTGTGGGTTCGAGTCCCGGTTCGCCCCGATTATGTTTCTAGGTTTGTCAGCACCATACCCGTGCTCGTGGGTTTCAACGAAGTGGTACATGTCTGAGACCTGCATCACTTCGGGCTTTCCTCCCACGTTAAGCTGACACGCCGCGGTATGACTGGAATACTGTTAAAAGCGGCGTTAAAACCCAACTCACTCACTCACTGATTAATGTCACAATCCTACCGCACTGTCAAACTTCCTGTCGTCTCTTGCGCGTGCTGGTATGAAAACAACTTATCCTCATATCAAGCGTAACAGTAAATTATAGTTGTTGGGTTAATTGAAGCACTTATGAACTGGGGACACGAGTGGCCAAGTTGTCTAAGGCGCGGCAATTCGCTGTGCAGAGTTGCGTCCCTTGGACACGCCAGACACCTGTAATGTCGGTTCGAATCCTGGTTAGCCCCATTATGTCCTGGGTTTGTCAGCACAACCCTGCTCATTGGTTTCACCAAAGTGGTAAGCGTCTAATGCCTGTATCACTTAGGGCTTTCCTCCCACAATAAGCTGACATGCCGTGATATAATTGGAATACTGTTAAAAGCGGCGTTCAACTCACTCACTCACTTGATGCGTGTTCGACGTGTATTCGATGTCGGCCATGATATATAATTGTTGAGAAATCGATCGATTTAGAGAATATATTATCAATGTTGCTTTGTGTATTAATCTCCAGCAACTTATCCCGATGTAATACGATTGACGGAGATGTGTCTGACGCAGCTTTAAACAGTCACCACGTGTTAGCTAAATATTTGTGGACACTTTTGTGTATATGTTTTAAGATTTTGCAAACAGGAAACTACTTTTTTTTAAAGTTGCAAATACAAGAGGTGGTGAACCGTCCGTGTGTGTTAGGTAGGGAGAATGTGCGTTTCAAGGTTTTACATTTGAAACGAAATAATTAAATTTTCCGGCAGACAACTACACAAAAATGGTATAAAAAATAGGATATTCCATATGACGGGGGAAAATGATATATCTCCATTCGCCCGTCACTCGATGAGAGAAACATGATATTTCACTCGAGGGTTAGGGTTAGGGTCAGGGTCAGGGTTAGGGTTAGGGTCAGGGTTAGGATCAGGGTTAGGGTCAGGGTCAGGGTCAGGGTCAGGGTCAGGGTTAGGGTTACGGTTAGGGTTAGGTTAGGGTTAGGATTAGGGCTTGGTTAGGGTTTAGGTTAGGTTAGGGTTTAGGTTCTTCACCCTCTATTTATTTCACGATAAAACATTGTTCTATCATGACGTCATTTCTGGTGATTCGAACATGCGCTCGAAATTTGATGACGTCGGACAACGTTTTTTTTGAGAGGGAAGTGTCAAATGAGCTGTTCTCCATAGATGTAGCTGAGCAACGTAGATGGCCGAACGGTCGCTTCCAAAACTGAGAGATATATGACAATCACTGTTGGGGGAAAAGGTACAGATTACATTAGATAAATTGATCATATCATGGCAAAGAAGTATCTGCTTAAAAAAAAGACACAAACTGGCGATTACGTTAAGTTCTAGCGTCAACATGTTTCAATCAAATTTAATCAGTAAAGTGAATTTCAGGTCCCATGTGTTCGTTCGCCTGTGTGTCTGCACAGTGTAAAAGCGGGGTGTGTTTCGAAAGACCTAAAGCTGTCACGTAACAACAATTAATTCATCTTAACAAGCACGTGAACATTTTTAAATTTCAAGAGCGATGTGAATTGAGCTTCTTTAAAAGGCTTTTAAAGGTTGATCAACAGAGGTGTTTGAAGCTAGATATAAGATTTAACCACAGGAACTCGTTATTGGTCAGTAAATTCTCTACTTACATATAGGAGGCATATATTTTTATTTACTGACCAATAACGAGTTCCTGTGGATTTAACTGGCAGAGAAGATATGGAAACATAGTGCACTGGAGTTATTTACAATGAGTTGATTGCCGTCATAGAACTCTTCAAGATAAATATGAAATGATACATGAATTTCATTTTTCATGGTTCACCGTTAACAGCTAATCTTCCTGTGTTACGACTGAACAAGTATAATCTTATGATGCCAAACCGTTGAAGGCTCTCTGGTAAACTGAAACGAAATCTGCACGTTATAATCTATTCCTGAACAAAAAGGTCAATGATAACCATACATATTGATGATACTCTATACCGACATACAAACTGTTGGGCGAGATTTGATATCTGAAAATGTCTTTGATATAAAAAGGCCTTTTATGAAGGTTTGCTCGTGATTTGTGATACAGTTTCATTCTCCGGTATCGATTTGTAGTTTTGTAATGACTACCTCTCGGACTTCCTCAGTGCTGATTGTAAGTGTGAATACATTATAAATTGATATTTTGTCAAATTTGTATACAGTAAACTACAGTTATAACGAACACGCTTATAACGAACTGACGGATATAACGAAGTGATGAATATAACGCACTTACTTTTTAGTCCCGACTATTTGCTGTAGTTATGCTGTATATATGCTTATAACGAACTACGGTTATAACGAACTAAAAATAGTAGTCCCTTTGAGTTCGTTATAACCGTAGTAACATGATCGTAATGCGTCCAAGGCGTCTGATCGAGCCAGGATCCGCTGACATTGTGTTCGAGTTCAAAAACATTTCTGCTTATGTTATTTTTTTTAGAAACATAGCCATGCACGTGTTTCACGAACGCGATAAACGTCTCCGATCTCATTGACTTG